GCCATTTTAAAATGGAGTCAGAGCTGCCTTTCCAGAGAAACTGCCTCGCTATCTTGCACCTTGGAGTGGGCCAAACCTTTGGACTGGACCAAAATGGCAATTGTTTTACAAGCAACTATTTGAGAAGTCAGCAGGAGAACAGACATCCTGATCACAAAGACTGAGGATTGTGGACTTTCTGAAGATAGAATCAATAGACAATCAATGTTTAGCCAAGACTAGCTCTCTGCCTCCAATTGCAATTAAAATTCTTTGTAAGACAACCTACCTTCTTTGCTTTTAAAATCTCCTAACTTTTATTCCCTAGTGGGACACTGTTTAGGTTTTGGGAGCTGAATCTGTGCTCCCTAAATTGCAATCCTTTGATCCCAGACAAACACTTTGCATTTTAAACTGGTTTCCATTTTTGCAGGCTGACATCTTTAGTGCGTTGGATTCATAAAAATCACTATTAATATATATTGCTCTTAATTAAACAGCTGAAAATGGCAATGTCACTGTTGTCCAGAGATGATCCAGATTAGCTTTAGGATAGTTACAATTCTGTTGGCCACGGCATCAGCCAGAAACCTGGGGAAAATTTCCCGTGGCATAATCCAGTTGACCGACATTAATTTGCCCATTTGTAAGAATAGCAGGCATAATGTTCTGCAGGGGTGATTTATTAATTGAAAAGAAAACCAACATGTGTCAGAAAACTTAGTCACCCAACAGCTGGCAGTAGCCCACAATACGCATTCGCCAGCGTACTTAGCTCTGGGAAAGGCTCAACTACACATTCCACACCTCTGGGTGGGAGTAGCAGCTCTGTCCTAATCTCCTCAGAGGTGACTGTTGGGGTCCGTTGGGCATTGCATTCCATTCCTGCTAAGCCTAGGTCCAATTCATTTATTGATTCATGTAACAGATGTTTAGTGAGCAGTTAGCATGTGCTACCCACTGGGATAGGCTCTGGGGATAATGCCATGGAGGAGACTCTGAGATTAGACAGTAGGTAGCCTTGCTGGTGGGGCCACCATTAGATGACAGAGGGCAGTGGCCTTCCTTTGCTTGATGCAGCCTCTTCTCTCAAGATGACTTTAATGAGCTACTCAGGAGCAGTGGAAGTTTATTTCATGGTTGGGTGGAATATAATTTAGCTTGCTCATTAGTAGGAAGTCTATACTATTTATGTGTGAAGAGAGAGAAAGGAGCTGGCAAGACACTAGCACAAGACAGACAATAAGGAAGAGCAATGAGCAATGTATCTCCCTATGAGACAGGCACATATCCTCTGCAAGGCCAAATGATTAAAGAAAATTTTGATGAGATTGTTTTGCAACGTGGTAATGTAAATGGATTCCTTATCAACTTGAATTAACTAATTTTCAAGAAACTTCTGAACACATACTCTTTGCCTAATACTGTGCTGGGCACAGTGGAATGCAAAAGAAGTGGCGTATGTGGTCCTTGACCTCATGGAGGGCATGCCTTCCTCCATCCAACAAAGAGCACAGAATATTGCCTACTCTGCTGGACTGATGACTACTCCTGGGCGGGAATCCCTCCTTCAGGACAATCACTCTGGCTGCTGTCCCAGCCTAATCTGACCACAACCACCAGGGATAAACCTATAGCAAGACAAAGTTAGGATAACAGGCTCCTTGCAATGAGAGAGAATGCATACCAGAGGAACCCAGAAATGTCTCATCAAATAAAGGAAAATACAGGATTATTATAAGATTTGGGGAAGGGTAGAATTTAGGTGAAATTTAAATGAGGCAGCATTCCGGCAGGCTCAAAGCAAAAAACAGCTGTGTGTAAAGGGGCCAACATCAGACCAGACTGATGGGTCCAGGGGCCTGTTTCCTTGGAATTGATAAAGTCAAGATAGATGCGGAATGTGTCCAGAAATTCCTCCTCTGAAGCTCGGACCTAGGCTGGAAATAAAAGCTGCTTCTTTGTGTTAGATTAACTTAGATCATCCTAGCAAAAGTCCGATGTTTCCTTTTTACTGATATGATTTTAAACAGCACATTTTCTGACAGTCTATGAATTCAGAGAGCAGGGATTCTAAGAAAGCAGTGGTCAAAGGCATTGTGACGACACTTCACAGGTGCAGCCGGATCTTGGGAGAAATATTGTTTCCTACTTTGCAGCTGGTTTCATTTGACTGTGTCTTATCTGTCTGTTATCTCAGCATAACGAATAAGTCTGATTTTTACTTTTTCAAAAGGAGCTGATATTTTGCTTTCTCACTGCAAATTCACCACACAACGCAGGTTCCTAGGCTGTGTTAACTTGATCAGTCTCTGGAAAACCACGGACATGGGTTAATGTTTCGTTCCAGAAGTGGAGACGATAAGGTAGAGCTACAGAAATCCTAAGGTCCAGGACTTATTCAGCCAGGAGCCCCTCCTCCCTCCACACACTCACAGTTTTGTTTCTTTCTCCAGCTCCCAGGGTGTCTCAAGGTCGCACTAAGGGAGTGGGAAACAAAGAACCAATAACATCCTTCTTGCTTTAAATCAAATTCCACGTAGCTACAGTGGCTCTTGGGCAAGGGCTCTGGCTTGGGAGAAAGCAGGCGCGCTTCTTGAGCTCAGTTTAGCATGCTCTGCGGTCTCGCTGTAGGAAGATCAGCAGCTTGTCCGGCAGGTGCGAGGTCGAGTCTTATTAACTCTCACAGACTCACCCCGGTATACTCTGCCCCGCGCCCTGATGGGCCCGGAGTTCCTTCGGCCCCGCCCCCGCCCCGGTTCGGAGATGGGTGCCTGGCCCCACCCCCGAGCCCCAGAGCTTGGCTCCTGGCCCCGCCCCGCCTGGCGCGCCGGAACCCGGCTGCGGGGACTGGCTCTCCCGCCGGGCCGGGTTGGGGCGGAGCCCGGCCTGCAGCTGCGAGGGCCAGGGCGGCGGGGGGTGGAGCCTCCGCCCGGAAGCCGGGGATCCGCGGCCATGGCTGTGCGGGCCGGCGCCCTCTCGCTGCTCCGAGGCCTCCTGGGCCGAGTGCCGGCCCTGAGTGGGAGCGCGGCGCCGCCTGTGGGGGCGTCGGGCGCGGCCGGGCGCGCGTTGCGGGGCTTTCGGAGCAGCGGCGTGAGGTACGAGCGCTCCCGGTCGCTCGCTCTCCGCGGGGCGCGTGCTGCGCGGTGCGAAGCCGCCGGCTGTGGGAGGGGCGGCGGGCGCGGCGCGGGACGCCCGGGCTGGGCTTCCGACCTTGGCCTTGCCGGCCGCCCGGGTGGGTGGCGTCGGCCTCAGGTCGGGCTGCTTGGATGTGCTCTGCTCTGGGCTCCGGCCCCAGAACTTCCATCTTTGCAGCAGGTGCAGTTGAGTGATTCAGGGTGACATTTGAGGCCCTCAGGAAAGGTGCCATAAAAACGCACGGCCTGCTTGGTGCCGGCATTTGTTTTTATTTTGGTTATTGTTGTGTTTCCTAAACAAAAGCGTGGGCGTTGTCCAGATGGTTTACTAATATTTGAGTTTCTGAATTCCTTTGTTGGTGGTAATGCTGACGTCTTTTCCAACTCCAAAATCCTTAGTGATTTCACAAAATCAGCCATTGATCTTGGTTTCTCAGTCTTTTTCTGTATAGCGCTTCCCCAACCTCTGCGATCTGAGATTGACGCGATCAGTCTTAGATTCACTGCATCTCTTTGGACCTTGTTGCTGGCTAATACTTTGCAAGTACAGAACAGTACGGGTTTAACTCTTCTGCACAGTCATGCCCAGGAGCACTTCACCCTTCATTTGCTTGTCGTAGTTGCAAACTCAAACCTAAGAAACTAAAAATATATTCGCTTGACCCAGGGTCAGTGAGTCCAGAAGAAACTTGGTTCTCAGACTTTCAGGGCTTCCAGTCATGTGTTTTCACTGCCGTTGTCCCTGGCCACAGATTGTGTCTTGCTCATCTTTTTCTATCTCCAGTGCCCAGCACAATACCTGGAATAACGTAGTGATCAGGGATATGGAAACATAGCTAATGCATATTTAATTTAAATTGATTAACTCCAATATAATTGATTATATATTTGGTCCTTCGTCTTGAGTGACTGTAGTAAAAAATTCTTTAGGGTTTACTTTGGACGTAGTTTTTAGTGACTAGGTCTTCCACGAGGATATGTGAGAAAATAACGGTGATTCGGAGTTCTGGTTGTGTAAGCTCTCATGGGTCTGAAAGAATTTACCAGTTGGTTTGGAATGAGTAACTCTGCAACCTGGGAAAAGGAGATTCTATAGAATTCTATTTGTATTACAGCACTGAAGGAATTATCTACTATAGTCACTCTTTATTTAGATATGTAATTACTTTTTCAGTTGGTTTAGTGCTGCTTTCCAGGGTAAGGATAATCTTCTTCAAAGTTTACAAGTTGATTAATTTCCCTTTGTCAACTTGGTGTAAACGACCCCATCACCCTGTCCTCTCCATGTACACTGAAGAGAAGGCACAAGTTACAACCCAAACATTTGTTGTAGCTACTTGCTTCTCTCTCTCTCTCTCTCTCTCTCACACACACACACACACAGCTAGTTCAGATCTTTTTAATTATATTTAATGGCTTCCTTATAATTTAAAATGGTTAAGTGCAATAATTTTGGTAACGCTAGTCTTAACATAGATAAGAAGTATTGCTTTCAACCCAGCTGCTTTCAGCTCCATTTTAAGCAGATTATAACTGCATAAAAATAAGTGATACTTTCGATAGTTTTTATTTTTTAAGGCTGCACTAATTAAGCTAGGAAAGCATGGTGTTTTTGACATCCTCTTGGCACTGAATACCATATATAAAGGTGAGGTTGGCTATAAGGTTGAGAAACACCTGTGGACTGGTGGGTCTCGGGTGGGGAGGAATTCGGACAGTGTGTTGATGCTTATTGGTGTCTCTTTTCTCTTCTAGGACCAGCAGAGAGAAGAGATTCCATCTTCCAGAGGTCGCCACTGTCTTCCTCCCCACTTATCCCCATCATCAGTCATCTTTTTTTTTAACATGTAATGACACATTCGTTGTCTAGTTCTTCATAGTGAATGTAATTTAAATCTGACATCATTCCTGTTGACTTGAAATTTGAACCTTAGTGTTATTCTTGGTGAAAATTGCCTTTGATTTGATAAATTCCCTCATGATATTAACTCTTCTAAATTAACAGATTTATTACCGGTTTCTGAGCGATATAGAGCTTAAATGAAAAATGAAAAATTATTTTTGATTATCTTTTCATATTTTTGATTAGTCAGATACCTAACAATTGAACATATAAATACTTTTTTAGTGGAGGAGTGCTTTTTTTTAGTAAGTGGAATTTCAGGAAATAATGTTTAACGGAATTTGAAAGTCACAAAATCTTGAAGTAGCATTTAAAGTTTTTCTTTCAGTGGTTTTCCCTTTAAAATTTGCAGTGAGTTTTTTTTGTATTTACTCGTGAGAAATTAGATCTTATTAATTGGAAGAAACTATATTTAATGTCAGAGAAATAAATAAGCCCTTCTATTTGTTGCAGCTTATTGTTTCTTAAAATGAATTATCTAAACAGCCAAAAAGTTAAAAATAAAAAATTCTTGGTGATTAAATTTTTCCTGTTTTGCCTTGCTGTGTAAGAATGTCCTTGCGTTGTAAACATCACACCAGTCTTTGGTCCAGTGCTTTTCAGTGTATGGAGCTGGGCAGCAGCCTGTCCCATTTGGAGGGCAGGTTACAGACCTTGTACGTTAATGTCATGCTCAAAGCAGATTTGCAAGGATCCTACAACAGGTACTTCCCCTAACTCTGCCTTAGGTCATCGTACGTGAACTCGTTTTCAGTAATTAAATGGATATCCCAAGTGTTTGTTCTATATTTATCCTGTTGCTCATTGATTCCTAAAATCATTGATTTGGCAGCTTCTCTCAGTTTTTTTCTCTCCTGCTGTGATTCATTTTAGATTTGTAAAATTTGGTGTCCTAGCCTACATCTCTTTATGCAAGCCTCACCTTTCTTTATGTCTCACTGCCAATGGCTTTATAATTTTTGCAGCTAGGCCAGCATTTAAAAGAACCTATTTTTTAGAGCTAGTTTATGGTTTATGTTATTTAAATATTCATGTCTTGTAGAGTGGGTAGTTGAATTTAATAATTAAAATAAGACATTTTTATCTGTAAGGCTGTTCATTTTTCTTCAGACTCTCCCCTCTAATACTTACTCAGTATTTCTGTCTCTGCAGAATTATTATTTGATTTAAAGATCCTTTTATCCTCATGTGAAGCTTGAAGGACCCAGACTCCAGTTAGGACCCTTACTAAAGCTGATTTTTCTGTAAACCGATTTCAGCCAAGGTAGAGTTAGTCCCCATGGCTAGTAAAGGCAGTTTCTCAAAGTCATAACTTATTTTGTTGACAAATACGGTAGTGTGGTTTTCCTGTCTTAATGCCTTGCCTGTTCTAATGAAAATGAGATATGATAGCTATCTGGCTACAATTTTGATTTCTAAGCAGTTCTTATGTCATTTTAAATTTAGAACCTAATTGTTTCACCATTTAGTGTCTTATGTCTTAGTTTTATGTCTGTGTTCCAGCTTTTCAGGGATAGTGTCTTCTAATATAGTGTCTCTGAAATCAAGTTTTCTAATTTTAATGGATTAATAGATGAAAAAAGGAGACTGATATTAATCTCATATTTTGTTACTCAGTCATGGTTTTAGTAGTAGTTTAGCAGTTTCTTTAATTACCCAAATCTTTGTTTTTCAGATGCTTTGAAGTTATGTTATCCTTTCATGTTACTACCCTGATGGGATGATAAAAACAGCAGGAAAAAAAACCACCAGATGATCTTCCATGGTCACACACTCATGGAATTCCATGGAGCTCACTGAAGGTGTCTTAAAATAGTTTGGCTTGGAGGTGATTAAGTTGTGGAGGGATGTTTAAAGAGAAAGGAGCTTGGGTGAAATTTGAACTGCCAGTGAGTGGGATAAATTAATGATTAGTAATAAATGAGATTTGCTATTAAGAAGTGCAATATGGACCAGAAAAAACACACCTGAAAGATAGAGAACTGTGGGGTCAGAATGGCACATAATCCAAACCTAAATTGGTGTCAAAGAAGAGTGGAGGGTTGGATATTATCCAAGAAGGCTTATCCAGCTGCTCCACTTAACATTACATCATAAGCATTTTCTGTGTTGCCATTGTTTCTGTTAACATTGTATTGGCTGCATCATATTACACTAAGTCATTTGGCCATAACTTACCTAACCATCTTGCTGTTGTTCAATGTCTGGTCCTTGGAGTATATGAAATAATTTACTCTCAGATTCAGGTCATGTTGTTGACAACTTCATACTTAATGATCTGAGCCCTATGTAGGTTTCTGTAATTATTCTCATTAAAGAGTGTGCCTAGAACTAAAAGACTATTCAAAGATTCATAATTCTAAAGTGAAGGCATATAAATAGTTTAAAAACGATGTTCCCGTCCATCCCCCCCTGTTTTTGGCTATTTATATTTAACTTTGCAATGAATATCATCTTGCCTTTAATCCATTTGTGTTGTTGAAAAATAAATTCTTGTTAATATTCAATGAGCCCTTACTCTGTGTTAAGCGCTTTGCTGAGATATTCCACACAGTATATCCTTTAATCCTCACAACAACTGAAGGAGGTAGACACTTACTATTCCCAGTTAACAGATTGGGAAATTGAGGCTTAGAGAAATTGAATACCTTGTCCAAGTTAACACAGTAAATAAATAGTGAGGGCACGGTTTGAACCTGCGTGATCTACCCATGATGTAGTGCTTTGCTCTACAAGCACTTTATAATTGTTGACATATCTCATATTGCTTTTCCTCTTTTTGAAAACGTTGATTAAATCTCAGAGAACTTTTGAGGATCAAGAAAGCTAATTTTACATACAAATCTTAAAAATTATCTTGTCAGATTCCCTTAAGAGTGTTTCTTAACCTGGGACTTCATGGCTAGAATTTAGGGGATCCATAAACTTAGATGGGAGGTCACTAACCTCTAATAAATTTAGCTTTTTCTTCAATGGTGAGTGTTGGCAACAATCAACAGTAATATTAGCAATACTTGTAATGTTGCCAATAAAAACCATACATATTTTAATATCACAGAGTTGATGTAGAGAGCTCAAAACTACGTACACTCGTCGTTACTTTGATATTATGGTAATTATTAGAACTGTTATTTAATGCTTTAAAAAAAAGTGTTTGATAATATTTCAGTAAAACTGGTTTCCTTGTAAACCTGTGTGTTTCATATTTAACATTTAAAAAGATTGTTCTGAGAATCTGAGAAGGTGTCAGAGGATTCAACAGACTGCTCAGGTGTCCTCATGGTACAAAGCTTAGCATCCATGATTCTTTGTGAAAAGGTGTGGATGTTGTTTAGATGGCTACTGATGTTCTAGTTTATAAGTTAGGGTCCTGTAAGAGTTAAGTTACAAAACTGAATAACGGAATCATATGTAATGAAAAGAATTTGCTTTGCTTTTTATTGATTTACAAAAGTACAATTTCTGATAAAATTACTTCAAGGTATAAGTATAGTATTTAAGATGTGAAATGAAATGTTTTTAAAAGACCGTAAACTTAACATTCCTAAGTATTCCTAAGTATTTACTTTCAAAATGTTTGTTTCAAAAGGCTTCCTAGTACTAATGATTGGTTTTATTCCGTATGTAATTTTGTCCTGGTTCCCTTGGGTTTTATTTCTATTGTATTGTTAATTCAAACTCAAATCTCCAAGTTATGCTCTAAGATACAAAGTAATTAAACTGTGTTAGGACCTGCAGAGAAAAGTTAATTGCTAATGATTATATTAGGCTTTTTTATCTTTATAGATCATAAAAGTTTACTGCAGCTCTAATTAACGTTGTGGTTGAAAATGAGATTGAAACCTAGATACAGAAGCAAGATGCCAAGTACACAAATTAAATACACTGTTGATCTTGGGTGGATTTTATTTGTTATTTTACTGGTTCGTGAAGGACTATTTTGATACACAAGAAAAGTAGTGATTTTTTTTCTCCTGTTTACTACTTTGCCTTAGTTAATTAAACACTTCATTTAGTTCTAGAACCATAGATTAGCATAGTTACAGTTTATTTTCTGGAAAGTATAGGTAAATAAACAAGCTCATAGAAGCAGCACTTAATGCTGATGGCTTTCTGCTCCCATGTTGCTTTTGGTTATCTGAATATGTCTCCACCTGTTTCTTAACAGAAACTAGGAAAGAGAACCATTTTTGCAGAACAGCCAATCAACTCTTAGTCAAATCCTCTCATGTAAGGTAAACAGAACACTCCCAGTATATAGATGAGGAAATTGCATGCCTTTGAGAGCAGTTCAGTGACTTGTCCAACCTCATTATGGCTACTAATGGTGAACCAAGGCTGACACTCAGGACTTGTGGCTTGGAGTAAGTAATTTGTTTTGCATTGTGCTGCCCTGCTACTCACATCCCCCCACACTGTGATTTATTGCTCCCTAATGAAGCCATATTTAGTGCCAGCCCAGCAGTGGAGGGGAAAAGAAAGTGCTGAAAAAGAGACCTGCTTGTCCTGCCTTCTTTGGGGGTCACTTGCAGCATTTCTGCCTTTTCAGAAAATGTCACCTGAGCAAGTAGTGACACGGTGCATGGTGTGAAAGATAGCTAAGGCATCAAATTGACTGTACCTTTGATGTGTCTTAATGGCAATGTGACTATGTAATTTTTTGACCAAAGTAGCACATTTATGAGAATAAAAAGAGACATTAAAGTAATGAAAATTTAGAATATTTATTGACTTACAGATATATTAGTGGACCTATGAAAGAGTTCTATTTGAAACTTTTTTCAAAATTAATGTTTTTAAAGGTAATTTATATCTTTATACGTTAAAACAATTTAAATTTTTTATCTTAATTTTATCTTTATTTTTTTCTGTTGATTGAGTAACTTTTAACACATGCCAAATTCTTGGTACATAATCACCTACTTGAATCGGTTTCTTTTTTTTTTTTTTTTTTTAAAGATTTTATTTTTTCCTTTTTCTCCCCAAAGCCCCCCAGTACATAGTTGTGTATTCTTCGTTGTGGGTTCTTCTAGTTGTGGCATGTGGGACGCTGCCTCAGCGTGGTCTGATGAGCAGTGCCATGTCCGCGCCCAGGATTCGAACTGACGAAACACTGGCCCGCCTGCAGCGGAGCGCACGAACTTAACCACTCGGCCACGGGGCCAGCCCCTTGAATCGGTTTCTTAGCCGTATCTTTTATCTTGATACTAATTTTCTGAAAAAAAAAAAGATGCTTCATTTTAAAATTAAATTCGCTACAGTTTTTTTAAAAGTTGCAAATTACTCTTTTCTTTAGACAGTAGTATTTTCAATTTTAAAAGTATGTCTCTCCAGATGCTGAAGCACCTGTGAAGCCCAGACCAAACTCTGCCAAATGGAACATAGTCTCAATTCTAGTTTTTTTCATATTGAAACGTGAAGATATTTCAGTCTAAATATTTTCACAGGTGTCATCTTTGTGCCTGCTTTCAGTATACCTTTTTTTGATAAATACTTAGGGTAAAAGTCATCAAATAAGTTGTTCCTATTTATGATTTTTAAAATATTTTGCCATATTTTGATGTAATAAAATTATAGGACTTCTCAATTCCATTCCATTCCATTCCAAAATATAAATTTATTCAATGAAAACTAGGAGCTCCATCAAAAGATTCTTCCCACAAATTGGAATATTTTAAATTGGCATTATAGCCGTATTTGTTTACTAAGACTGCCATAAACAAAGTACCACAAACTCGATGACTTAACAGAAATTTATTTTCACCCTTCTGGAGGCTACAAGTCTGAGAGTGAAGTATCTGCAGAGCCGTGCTCCCCCAGCCTCTTGTGGCTGGTGATCCTTGGTTTTCCTTGGTTTGTA